TATTGTGAATTGTATAGAAATTTTCACTAATATCTTTCCAAAAATTTGGTTCTCTATTCTTATACTTTTCGCATTCACTTTGACTATTCTACCGAAAGATTCGTTACGATGATAGCTCAGGTTTTGTTATTATTCTACTTAATGGAAGGGCTAAGTTGCTACTTGATAACTGGACCTTGATGGTTTTGATAAGTATGCCATTTTTATGTAACCATCTCCGGATAGTCATCACTTACACAGGACTGGTTGGAGACTGAACTTATCCTGATGCTAGTCACACTAGCGTAGGGTAAATGTGCTTCTTGTCCGTGAATTTATGATCACGTCCAGCTTGAATGTATCTACCAGTAAACTTAAGGGTGGAAAGATTCCACGACGTCGCAATAACAATGTCGCATGGGTGAACGACAACACAGATAAGGAGCATCGTCAACCTTGCACCAAGCCATCTAGGCCATTTTCCTACCAAATAATAAGCTTTGTTGAATGCAAGATGCAAGATGTACAATGCGGCAAAAGATTGCAATCAACAAATGCGAATAAAAGATGTCTCACAATCCTTGTGCTGTTCATGATGCGAATATCAAAACATTCTTCAGCTCTACAGTGTAAGCAAATCAAAAAGGACCCAATTAGAGTTGCAGTAACGCAAAACAAATAAACCAATAGAAGTTCATGACAGAAATATTTATTTTGTTTTTGCATATATAAGCAAGTATATATGTAAGCAATATACTATGATGTTCTTCTGTTTTTTGTAAAAAGGTGTTAGTAATAAAAGCATTTCACGAAACGAGTTGGAGTACGGACCGACCGGCCTGTGCGAGTGGTCCTCGGGTTTGAACCGGCTAAAGCGGAACGCAATGGATGCGTTCCTGAAGTAGAGGGTAATGCAACCGGAGTAGGGGAAATGGTCGAACCTGGCGTGGTCGATAAAGGTGTGGGGGCTGTGTGTCGCTGTCTGTAGCCTTTGGGTTGGCACGGGTTGTCATCGGGATGTTGGGTCGACGTAAGCTGGCTTCGTGCGGTCGATGGAGATAGTCTCGCGGTGACCGTTTTCATCGATCACTATCTGTTTCTCGCTACGTCGGATTACGCGGTAAGGGCCGTTATATGGAGCCTGTAGGGGTCTGCTTACTGCGTCGCAGCGGACCCAAACGTGTGTGCAAGTCTTCAAGTCTGGATGAATAAAGACTGCTTTTTGCTGTGGCCGTGTGACGGCTGGGGTTAACTCACGCGTGTGATGAATAAGCCGTTAGATGTAATCCGGTGACGCTTGAAGCGAAGCTTTGTGTGGGGAAATTTACTCTACGGGAAGATTGAGGGTAGTGCCATATACTAGTTCGGCCGGCGTGCACTTAAGATAGTCTTTTATGGCATTTATTATGCCCGTAGGACAAGTGGGAGTGCCTCCGTCCATAACATGACGGAATGTGCACTAAGTGCAGCTTTTAGATGTCGATGGAAACGTTCGACAAGTTCGTTTGCGGCCGGATGAAATGCGTGGTGCATATATGTTGGCACCCTAACATGGCTGTCATCATTTCACCATATACATCACCTGAATGCAGTTCTGATGCAAGAATAGATGAATTGTGCGACAAGCTGAACGGATTGATTTGCTTGAGACGAAACTGCTGTATAATTGAGCTTATAGGTGATTTGAACGTGCAGGTTAGAAAACTGGACGCATCGGAAGCTCGCTTAAGCCTACCAACAAACAGGTAATGGTGATCAATTTCTTCATTTGTGCTGAGACCACAGTTTCTTTTTGTCCGGTACGAAACTCCGACATACCTCTCGACGCTCAAATGCGAATGGAAAGGTGGCAGCAGTTGATTACCGTTCGCATGGCTCAGTACACAACTGCCGGTCCTATGGGGACCACCTGCGTTAAACTTGATCCCGCATTAGTTTTGGATGCACTTCGCGCCTGTTCTAACTGTTCGCCGAGAAAAATAAAAAAACTCAGCACATCATCGCATATCTAACCCAGCCGTTCGTAACCGCTGTGAATTATTGTTATTGTTATTGTAATAACATTTGTAAGCATAAAACCTACATTTCACTTAAGAATATACAAATTAGACTTAGAACATGGGCCATGCGCGCTGCAGTGTGGTAGTATAGGTGAACAATAGGATGGGAGCAGATGAGGGGTGTGATGATCACGTGCATTCTATTACGGAATCACTGCCTAATCAATTTAGGAGGTGGATACCACTTTCGAATTGAGTACAGAGCGCAGGGGTATTAGTTAGCACAAAGTTTGGCTACCCCTGGGGTGGAGACGAGGTCGGTTGTCAGTTTTACAATGGATGAAAGGTTTTTTCATCTATGTACGATCGGTTAACATTTGTTTCACATTTGCACAAGACGGCAATAAAATGGTGTCTTAGACGAACAGCGTGAGAGACATTCTTCAGGCTTTTTTGTTATTTGGGCAGTTACATCTCACCGGTAGACGCATCACGGATGAAGTGTCTGCTTGCATACAGAAGGCTCGGTTAGCATTTGCCAACTTGAGACATTTGTGGTGCCGTCGCGACATCCGGTTGTCTGTGAAGGGTCGAGTGTATGCCGCGGTAATTCGGCTACTTCTGCTAAACGGCGCAAAAACTTGGCCATTAAGAAAACAGCACAAAGATAGAATGTCGGTGTTTGAACATCGCTGTCTACGCAGCATTGCACGAATCTGGCGGGGCAGCCGGACGAACAATGCTGAGGTTAGGCGCAGAGTGTTAGATAAATGCGGTCGGCCACTGGAGCAAGTAGTCGACCTCCATAGATTACGTTGTTTGGGACAGGTGTTACGCATATCACCAGATAGGTTGCCACGGCGAGCGATGTTTGCCGAGGCAGGTAGTTATGGGAAGAAGCCAAGGGTGGTCAAGCCAAGACCTGGCATGAGGGTATGAAAACCGTAACCAGGAGTCTGGGTCGCATATGTCCCGTTAGGCTCCCTGGATGGGGGACTTCGGGATGATCGTACCCGATGGTCAGAGACACTGAGTGATATGGCTGAGTCTCGTAAACAGTGGC